TATATATGTATAATGTATATAATGTGTTGAATGTTAGGATGAATTTATTACCTTACAGAATGCTGTGACGCAGTCTTTATTACCACATTCATATAATTTCTTGTCGTCACCACATATGTGACAATATTTCTGAAAATCATCATCATCTTCATCTTCGAATGCAGCATATACTTCTTTAAAATGATTCCAACATGTCTGCAAAAAAGTATATTTATTACAAAATTAATATAAGAAAACAATTTATTTAATCTTTCTTGCTTTATATTTCAAGCAAAAAAAAAATACATTTAACCTTTACATATAAAATGTAACAATATCTAAATATAAAATATCTTACCTCGCATTGTAATATTCCCATCAATGGATGAGAGAAAATTTTATTTGACTCGATACTCAATTCATTGCCACATGAAGTACATGCTATTTGTTTATCTTTAACGACTCTAATATCTAGACATAAAGTACATAATTTGCATTATTACAGAGTTTTAAAAGTGTTGTAAATACCAAAAAAATATTATTAATATGACTTGTAGATGTATAAAATAATCGATATTTACATTTTAATATTAATAAATATGCAGATATATATATATAATTTTTGTTGGAATAGATTTTTGTATGAGTGCTTTGTTTGACATTGAACTATATTCTATAAATTTATGTATATAAATTACATTATAAAATTAACTTATACCATGAAAATGCTTCTCACGATAAGCAAGTTCCTGTGCAGTTGCTCTGACCTCTTTCTGAAAATCAAAAGAACAAAAACAATGTTTGCATTACATTAAATGTTGTATTTACTTCTGTCTACTTTCAATTCTTCTACATTAGAAAAAAGTTAGAATTAATAGTACTAATTAATCACTCTGACATTAATATCAAATAAAATTATTAAAAGGCCTAAATGAATAACACTTTAGGTAATAATAAATGCAAAGTATGGGGCATTTCAGCACTCATTAGTGCCGATTCTTTAGCCTCTTGTGATTTTGTAGTTACATATCATGTTTTTTACCTAGCATTTTATCTCAATTTTTCTTATGCAGCTGAAGAAGCATTAGTGAGTACTTCAACATCCCACGCTTTGTATTACTTCACTGTAATTTAAATGCAAGAAATAAAATCTAAGTATTGTTCATTTAGATTATTTAATGATTTTACTTGGTAATTTAATAAGTAAACTTAAGATTATATTAGATTAATATTACATACTAATGTATCATCGCATCTTACCTTTGATGACATGATTGCAATGCAAGATGCCGATTGAGAGCTGCAACTAATTTCATATAAAAAAAGAAAGAAAAAAGAAGTCAATAAACTCTCCAACAAATTGAATCGAAACTTGTGATCAGCGACGAGATTGTTATACCACAGCTATTTTACGTTCTTTTACAAGCAACTATTTACAGAATAATACATCTTTGCAAATACATCTTCAATGACCGTCCGGTGTAAAAATCGTATAGAGATCAACGAGGGGTGATAATAAGGAACATCCTCGTTGATCTACGCAATTTTTATGTGTTCACACTAACAAGAGCAGCGATTGTGTGAACACTACTAATTGCGTTGTTAGAAGAAGCAAGTTCAATTGCGAATATATATCCAATCTCTGGAAACTCCGTCTTCAACTTGGAAACTTCATTGTATCCTTAATTTCTCTTTGCAAACAAAATACGACGACGTGGATCTAAATCTCTCACCAATTGATCGTTCCGCCAAAATAGCACGAGGAAAAAAATTGATCGTGAATTTTACCGCGCGATTTTTGTGTGTGCGCAAGGAGAGATAAAACATTAAAGTCACATACCGGTCGTACAAAATGGCAGAACCATAGACATACAAAATACATAGACGGAGTCTTTTATGTGATGACAGGAGGATATTTGGGTGAAAGGGCGAAGGGGTCGATCAGCCATTGAGCGAATTTTCAAAGATAGGGAGAATGATCTAATTCGTAGAAAAAGACATATACATGCTGGATGGATCGCTATCTCTGTCAAGGATTCGCTGATTGGTCGATTGGACCACTGAGTAAAGACCGCTGGATAAATTTTCATGACTATCAAGAGACCGAAAATAAATTGGCACTGGAAGATCAAATTTTTTAATAAACAATAGCTCAAACGATTGTTCCTTATTTGCTTCATTAAAATCAACAATTACTCCCCTTTTAAAATTAGTATTTTTTGAAATATTTATAAAAAACGTAAAATCATAATTTTCATTGAAAAACATACTTTTAATAGTTTTCTGCAACTATGTTCCATATAAAACAACTGATCCTTAATTGATTCTTATCGCTATATCATTACTTTAATAATTTATTGCATTTTTTAATGAAAAATTAATAAATTAATCATTTTAAAGTTTAACCAACATTATCTATTGGTTCTTTTAACAAAATAATTGCTCTTCGTTTGTTCTATTAGTATATATTTAATTGCTCTATTTGTGAAATTAATATATATATAGATCTTTTATGTAACTGCCTCAAGAACAACAAAATAAACATTTTATTGTACCAAATTACAGTTTGATTACTGACAATGCAAAGATTTATTTATTTACAGCAGAGAGAAATCTGCACATATATGATAAATAAAACTAAAATTTAGTATTTCTTTTATAATGAACAGATTTTTATTTTTTACAATCCATGAATATCGCATATAAACAGAATTATACAATATGGAGAGCTATTGTATATCTCATCAGTGATGTACATTTGTCAAATTTCGACGCAGCGGATAATTTTTAATACATATTCAAGCTCATATATGTAATGCATATATGCACATCTTTTATAGACATATAATTAATCGATTTCTCGACGTACCTGCATTATATTGTCATGCAAGTTTATTATAATCTCTCATATAAGTTGAGATAAATCATTATCCACAAAAGTATCTGAATAGATCTTGATACAAATTTGCACAACTTCAAAAATGTACTAACACCCACTCAGCAAATATTTTAATATGTTATCCGTAACTTATTAAAAATTACTATATTAAAGTAGACACAGAAATAGGATATAGACATATTTTATCATATTCTAAAGTATGTAAATTATATTTTATCTATATACATTGCTCTTGTACATAAGTTCTTCCAATGAAATAATAAATTTTGAAAAATTATATTATATATGTGTAATTCTAATAATAATGCATATTTCTGATAATTACGATAAACAAAGCAGAAATTAGAAAAATAATATCTATATATACTGATTTAAATATAGCACCATAACTTATTTTCATATTTTTATTCGTATCTTTTAGTCAATCGTCTATCAGTATCTGCTACATTACTATGAAATAGGGAAACTATTCTCTGTCTGCTATGCTGTAATGTATAAGATTCAAAGGGGAAAAAATTAGAAACTAAAACGGGCAAGTGGGTTTTCATTCCGAAAATGGGCATTTGATTGCGTTCATTGTTTTCAATTATAGTGTAACAATAGGCAAGTTGATATGTGCTTGTAATATCGGCAAAACTGTGAACTATCTTAGTGTTGCACATCTTCAAAGGATTTAATCTACAAGTAACGACCCTTGGTATATCAAGTTCTTGAAGAAATAATATGCCTGAAAAAATACAAATATCGACTTTTCGAAGCTGTCATTGCTAAATCTATAACATATGTGTACAATAAATTTATGCTTACCATTTTTTGAACTAACAAATTCTTTGTGTCTCGCGATAAATAAATGAAAGAAAGCTTGGCACACGGAGTAAAACACGGCGTGTCGTTTCATGTCATCATCGATATATTTCGAATATTCTTGCATATTGATATAATTGCGTATCCATGTTATCAATTTGGACATTATCAACTTCACTAATCTGAAAGAAAATAGCGTTATAACGTTAGATGCACAAATTCGTCATAAAGTTGTTGTAACCAGCACACATAGATATTATTAAAGTAATTACCCAGAAGAGATAAATGATGCGGTAGCAAGCAAACTAGAAATGTAACAAACAGCTGATTGCCTTAAAACTGGCGCTACATTTGGATCGATTACTTTACGCCATAACCAATCTGTGAAAGTCTCCGCAACTATGGCTTTGAAGCTGCAAATGTAGAACATGATATATTGCACATATTGACTGGCGTGCGTGGGTAATATTATTGTTTCGAATGTTCGGAGAATATCGACGTATAATATTCTCAGGGATTCTATCTGTAGAGCGCCATTTGCAAAACAGAACTCGTGCATGTACTTAAAAAATAATTCCATGCACGTGTCCATTGTGTGCATAATTAAAGGGACAGTTTTTATTTTGTCTACGTCATTATTTACTGTTGTCGGATTGTCACCGTCAACTGTTTCACTAGTACAATCGTCCATTACATCGTCTTTCTCATCATAGCTTGCTTCTTTACGAGGTATATTAACATCTAATATTGCCAACCTAAAATAGAAATAAATATTAATATTTTCATCAACAAAATACAAAAAATTAGGTTTTATCGATTATATATATATTTACCTATTAATAATTAAGGATAGGATGTCTGATCTCAGTTGAGGTGCATAATTTAATATTTGTAATAATGCGTAGATATAAATTTCATGTGTATAAGTGCCATGTGCAATATATGGAAATTGTGATGCAAGAAATTGTAGTAAAACTTGGCTTGACCTGGAAAAATTTAATATATATATATGTTGAATATATAACATACAAATTTAACATACATATATACATAACAAAACAAAAAAAAAGATGAATGAATGTTTTGAAGAAAATTCAATTTTCTACATCTTACATTGGTACTACTTCCAAAATCTTATGTAATATGTCATGTATATGATTTAGCTTTCTTATATCTTCATCTTTAAACTTTCCAGGCTTACGTTCTGGATCATTATCTTCTACTGGAAAGAAATATAAGTATAATATATATTATATTTCAATATTTTTGAAACATATCATTAGATGTAATTTTTACCTGATTTAAACAACTGAATCAAAGAATTTATTACAGTTTTTATATAGATTGTTTGCATACACACTAAATCTTGTAAAAAGAGTTTATAAGCTGAAATCACTTCTGGTGATTTAGTTGTCCATTGAATTCGAAGAAGAATTTGAACAAACAAATCGTATCTAATATCTAATAAAGATACGCATTGTCTTGCCTCAGATAAAAATTCTGCTAAATCACTATCCTGAGGAACAAAAAGAATATTCTAAGTAAAATATCTTATATCATAATATGCAATTGATCAAGTTTTAATAGCTATAAAGCATATGAAATATGCTCATTATACATTAAGACATTGTAAAAGATTAGTTGCATGCAAATTTTACAAATCTTTCGTTTACTTTTACCTTTATAGCATCTTCTTTAAGTGAATGTAACAATTTTTCATATTCTTTAATTCCATTACCTGTCTTAAAATTATATAATATACTTTTAATATCTTTAGGAAGTTTCAAATGCTGTATTCTGCTGCATTGTTTGTTAAGTTGCGTTCTAATCCCAGTAGCTTTTATTATAGATGACACACTGCTAACTCTTGAAGATACCACAGACATCTGTTAACCGGACACACCAGATAAATAAGTATTAAATTCTATCAGTTCTTTAATGACAAATTTATCTTGCAAAGTGCTGTTGCTTTAAAATAGTGGCAATTGAGAAATATGGGCCTCTCTTTCTCTCAATATAAATAGAATATTGCGTTATATTGTGCAAAACGTCAAATGAGACCATATGCAAAAAAGGTTATACGCACATTAGAATGAATTATACTTGGATTACTCACTTTGATAAATATAGTTTTCACTCTATATAATATTCACAATTTCCGACAATTGTTGTAAACACATCTGTTTATATTTTAGACGCGTACTATTTCACCAATAACGTACAACAAACGAATTTTACTCACCATGCGCTCACACGGCGACAAGCCACATGTTCTTATAAATTACGGAATAATCACGGATTTAATAAAACATAGATTGTCTCACGCACATTAATTTAATACAGAATGTTTCCCGCTCTGCTTTCCGAGATCGGCATTTTCGTGTCAGTCACAACGCATCTAGGTATTTCATGTCTCATGACTATTGATTCTGAAAATATATAAAAAAAATTGGCAATATTATTATCGAACAGGAGAAAACTTATGTTACGTTTTGTTAACTTTATATTTCATCTTAACGGAACAAAGAGTTATTAAATTTATGGATCATACGAATATGTCTCATTTTTATATTTCGATAAATATCAAACAAAGATGTCAAGCAACGATTCGATGGACAATATACAGGGTGTTCCAGGAGGAAAGGTCAATATTCTAGGAGGTGATCGTATCGGTCATTTTAAGCAAAAATGTTCATATGAATATATGTCCTATTCCCCACCTAAAGACCTAAACTCTAAACTATACATTCAGTGCTACCAGTCAGATAAAATTGTTACTGCTTGCAGATAAAATATCTTTATGATAACTTTTTCCTATTTCATGTATATCGTAAGAAAATAAAGAATTATCAATAAATCAATTTTAGAGAGTATATATATATATATCTCGGGGTAATTTTTCGTTTTTTTATTAATTTTTTTATTAAAATTATAAAGGTATTTTATTATAGATTACACTAAGGATCGAAGTAATAGGGTATATCATTCTGTTGCTCCAGTAACGTTGATAATGCCAGCTCTATGTTTTCTGGCAAATGATCTAAGAGCATGCGTGGCATCACCGATAATTTCGTAAATTCTTCCGCTTGCGCCCATCGCATTTCGTATTTCCTCTCTTTCGCGAGCTGTTTCTTGCTAATATTATATATATAGAAATAATATATTATTAGTATTAAAATCTTGAAAAACACTTTTATATCTATACTTAATATTTCTGGAGATATTAATATATATATATAGTTCGAATAATTAACTTTTATAGGATTTATAGATAGAATCCTATAAAAGTTAATTATTCGAATAAAAAAATTAATAAGAACAATGCACCTTTTTCCCTCCGTATTTTCTAGCTTGCACCTTGTTATATGAAGAATACGACCAGCATTAAACAATCGTTCTTTCGAATATCTTCTTTTCGTTATGTCACGTTCTATTATTTGATTATCCTGCAAAAAAATAGATGTAACATATTTCGTATCAATTAACATGCACACAAAATGTTAAATGTAATAATTATGTCAAGTATATCACAAGTGTTTGCGTGTGTTTTCTAAATTTTTACAAATGCATTTTTGTGTCTCACCGTGTCTCTAGACTTGGCGAGTAAAGGTGATTGGCCCGGAATTGTGCTAATTATATTATAGTTGGTCCACGTTTTACTCAGATCGTTCTCGGAAACTCCAAACAAAGCGTACCCAAATCCATTTAGAACCACTCTGTACTAAAAATATAAAAGTATTTATTATTATTATTATTATTAAAACATTTTGATTTAATTATCCGAATATCTCGAATTTTGAGAATCACGGATTTCTATCGAAATACTTTAGGTAATCGACAGTCCCGAAGAGTTGTCAACAATGAAGTCCTTAAATTTTCTATACTGTCCACGCTGAGCCTCATTACAAGATCATCCCCGAGTCCAATGGTCAACGCAAACTCCTCCGTAATCCTGGCAGCATCTCTGCTGAGCAGCCCAGCTTTGCGAAAAATCACATTAAAGATTGCTAATTAATCTAATATGTTTGTGAAATTGAGAAAAATTAATAACAGACAATTAATATGTTTTTTAACACACAAGTAGGAGTTATTATATAACATTAATTATGTACACAAGCAATTACCAGGCGTAGCAAACGCGTAGACTCTCAAGTCTGGATAACGGGGGCGTATTAATAATCCTAAAAGAATTGCTAAACCAGCTCCTAAACTATGACCTATAAAAAATATAATACACATGTTATTTTATTACAAAATTTGAATACTTTATTAAAAGTATGAGTGTATTTACCTGTGATCGTTAGATTGTAATTGGGATATGTGGCGAATGCTCTTTCCAAAACTTTATAGTTCTCCAGTTGTTTCAAAATTATTTTTACTCCTATTATCATGCCTCTGTGTGCCTATAAATTTTTCATTGGTTTAAAAGGGGTCGAATTATTTAAGATCAAATTATTTTAATATATCTACGCGGAAAGGGTAGAGCGATTATACTAACCGTACTATTTGGAGGAAGACCAGGACATTCGAATGAATCGGACGCGGCTGCAATATCAGTGATCAAATCTCGCAAGGATAACGATCCTCGTATAGCTACGACGATATTAGCAGTTTTGTGATCCGCAATCACGCAGAACGGTATCTGTAAAATTTTAAAAATTAATATTAAACGTCGGACAGGAGCGTGGCAAGAGTGTAATTTAGAAGCAATATACCAACTTCGCATAAATGATTCTTTAAAGAGGCAAATAGAATATCCTCCTCGGACAGCTTCGATAGATATTTAATGCCAGAAAGATAGCAGAGGCAACAATTATCGTCCAGAATAATGTTACGCTTTCGTCTAAAAATATATGTATATATTTAACTACACACATTATCTCTTATAATAATTATTATTTCATAAAAATATGAAAATTAATTATAGATTATAGTATTAAGAATGTACTGGCTATACAATCCCAAACAAAAGTTACTTCAATTTGAAATTGATGAAATTCTATGTTTTTCTGGGTTAAGATATGCATCATATGTGCTCGTATCGTATAAAGGACTTAAATAATGCCAGTTAATATGATTTTACTACAAATGAACATATTTGCACATTTTGCAAATTTTATGATCGTCAGCAAAAAACTTTTGGACGTAAATTTCACCTGAAACTGTAAGAAGCGAAAAAACGTTGCGTATATTAGTAATATTTCATGTATTTTAATATTTAATGATATTTTCGGAATTTTGCATTGCTTTTTTTTTAATAACTTGATAACGTGTTAGTGAATTGATATCAACTTTTTTTAGAAACATTGCTCAATATTTTATTTACTCACAAACAAAGTTTCAAAATATTTTGGCAATGGTGCTTCCTTAATTTTGTTTATATAAGTGGGAATATGCTGCTACTTCGTAAGAACTCATGCAAAATTAAAAGTTGAATAACTCGTCAACCGGTTAGGGAATCGTCTTCAGGTTTTATACACGTGTTTAGATAATAAATAGAAACAATCTATTAAATTTTCAGGGTATTATCAATGTTAGAATGTTAGCACCAGTACATCCTTAAGTCATTTACTTTTATATTATTGTATATTCTTTTACCGGAAACAAGCGCAGCACGTCATGCCCCGTATTAAACGAAAACATCCAGTACACAAATGCTGATATATTACAAAAAGCCAGCCGTAAGAAGCGATCGATAATTGCAGGAAGTGGTGGGCAGCTTCCAAGGACATCCAACTAGGTGTGCCCGAGAAGATCTCGCTGCTGTCTGAAAAAAATGTAGACAGCAAATATTTGATAATCAATAAATATTGGCATTCGCGGTATATAAAGCGTCGCATTCTTTTTCCGATGCAAATAACGTACCTGAAGTATACTTTGGACGCGTGATTAGATTTAACTTCCGCAATTCGTGAGTTTCTCGTTTCTGTCGGACTCTGAGTAAGATGCATCCTGCTATTACGTCCGAGGGAACCAAATCGGTACCGCGGAATAATGCGCTTAAAAGACCTACGAAGATATTTGTATTAGTCACAATTAAAAATATCATACAGAAATTTTATTATTAGAAAAGTTAATAAACTGTTCTCTCTGTTTCTCTCTCTCAGTTTCTCTTATAATTACAAACATTAATTGTAAGTGTATTCAAATTCAGTTATCAATTATCAGCGCACTCTTTCAATATTTAACGTTTTGTAACTTTACCACGAGTTAAAATTTAATCTTACATATCAAGGTAATTGCGTATATTACGAAGCGATCGCGTAATCGCTATTTTTAAGAGAGCGGCGAGAGAGCGACACGCGTCGAGAAGAGGATTCCACCGGCGCCCAAACCAGAACAGTGATCAGCGATTTGATTTATCATCGGGCATCCCGGGCGACTCTTTGCGCTCGGGTTTCGCGACTCGGCCCGCGTTCCAGTTTCCGGCATGCGGCAGGACCTCTTCGTAGGTCAGCCGTACCTATGTCTCACCAGCGACATGTTGAAAGGTCTCGTTTGCGCTCTCGTCCTTCCGCATCCACCACAGAAATTTGAATCTGCGTAGCCAGAGGCGCGAGATCTTGCCGTGCTCCACGGAACTCTCCAACTGCCGTCTCTCCAGGGAACCGATCGGATCGAACACCAGAGCGATGCCGAAAATACTGAGACCGATTAGGATCCAATCAAAGAACACCAGGGCTTCGACGACGGTGATGGAATAGGATTCATGGTCGCATTCTACGCTTTGCCCGAAAATCCACATAGTGCCTAAGACATTCCATCCGATCTCCGGCAGCAACATTAATATCCTGAATAAATAAAAAAAGACATTTAAATTATTTATATTATTTATATTTATATTGAAATTAACTATACGTGCAAAAATTAGTAGATCTTTGTAATATTGCATTAAAATGAAAAAAAAAATTAATATTGACATATTCTAATCAATATATATATGGATCCAATAATTGTATCAGCAATACAGATGAATTTAGAGAATCTAGATTTCATTAAACTGCTATATTGGCGACACATTTCTTTAATATACAGATTTATAATTTACAGATGTATATATTTTATATGTTATTGATGCTGCAATCTATTTCACAAGAAAATTATGGCCTTGCATAACAAAGCAAAATGATAGAAAATTGCTCATAGCAATTTGATCTTTTTCCAATGTCAATTTATAGAGAGAATGTATACTTCTTTGTATTTTTCTTTATACGATCAACGGGTTTGTCATATTTTTCTACATAAATACATGTTATAATCTTCGTGTAATTAGCAATTACGAATAAAAGAATTTTGACAATCAAAGTTTCAAGAAAGAGAATATATGACAAAATCATTTATCTACGAATAATTTCATATATTTCACATATATCAATTTCATATATTTTAATAAAATTAGAATCAAAATTCAATCATAAAAATATGTAATATATAAAATTATAAAATTATGGTAAATAATGACGATTTTTATTCCCTGACAAAAAAGATCGACTTTATACACCGAACAATTCGCTGTTAAAAAAATAAATGGGACAGTAGAAAAATCTTCTTAAGACACCTTTATATATAAAGATTAATCTAGAAAGCTGACTGATGTGACGTTAGTTTACTTTATTGCTTACTTGATCATTAGAAGCGGTTCGACGTAGCATCGGGCATGCGTATCCATGATGTTTCCCCTCGCACTATGTCTGATGATAATAAGTATCAAGAGCGTAACGATGCTGAGCATGACCGCTTCGCCGAGGAGATACACGCGCACTAATTCACCTCCCAACCGACAATTCCACGTATCCTCGTAGTACCTTGCGCAGACGATCCCTATAAGAATCAACCTGTAAAACGCATAGTCGATTACGAGAAACAAACTAACAGTGATCCGAGCGATTTCGATCGGGCGATGCAACTGCGCAAAAATTTAATGTTGACAATAAACTTAAGAATGCCAAAAGTTTATATTTTAACCAAGAGACCATATCGCTAAATTTGTATTCTAAATTATTGCATCTCAGGATTAGATTCCTGACAGAATGTGGTTTTAAAATAAACAGCCCGTATCAGATATCTGTGGCTTTTTTACGACTAATATTAGTGATCATTTTCCGACGATCGTTCAATGGTTGCTGCTTGTCTATTGGCAATACTTACCATACAACGCGGATAAATAATTCGAATAAGCCGGGATACACAAGGTCGTCGGTTGCGGCCAACCATTTTCGCCCAAAGAGCTTCAACGCAGGCATCTCCCTGTAAAAAGAAATTGTGCTGTGAATGCTGCAACTTTATCAGGATTTGTCGGGAAATTTTATTAATCGAGAGATTTAGAAATAAAACATGTGGCATATATTTATAAAGAAATCTTTAAGTATATTTATCTAGATTCTTGTATCTAGATATTCGCAACATCAAAACTAGATCGATTCGGTCACGTTCGCGAGGATCTCGCGAAACGCGCGACGCGGAAAGTTTACTTAACGAGGCGTACTTACGAGTTTCGTAATATTACAGAATAAAGTAGATGTGCGGCTTTCTATGATCATAAATATCCAAGATTCGGACAATGAAATATCTCCTTGATCGCAAACCTCCGCCCGGAGAAAGCGCCGGGAGAAAGTCCCTGTATTTATCCTACATTCGAGACCGTATTGACACAGCTTACCGACATTCTTTTAAATGGACCGCGAATCCAACGATCCCAATCCTTAGTAGAAGTTGATAGCGCAGCTGATTATATCAGCGGTGATCAATTATGTTCGAAAGCGACCGGTCAACGTGAACGTTATTGAGCATATCCGATTATATCAAATGAGCGTTCTATAATGCTACATTAATCATTGATAATTGTTTGACAATTATTTCAGTGTCATTAAAAAAAAAAAACAGGCGATATCGTGATAAATATTGACATCGATTAGGAAAATTGCTTGTTTTTTAATATAAACTTTAGATCTTTTTTAAATAAGATAAAAACCATAAATATATTAATAAAGACAGAACAGTAATATTTTTTTGAAATATATCTTTATTTATTAATATGTTCTTTTTTTTAAATTCTTTCAGTATTGGAATCTCTTTCTTAAAATCGTCTGTAACTTCTAACTCCTTGAATATTCCGTTTCTGATCCTTTCCGACACTCTTAAACTCGTGCGCGAATTAACGTACTCTAACTAGTTGCGTAAATAACTTTCAAAGTATTTAATCGCGGGAAAGCACGCAGTTTACATCATAACGCATGTACTTTTTGAACGCGTCAATTAGTTGCAGATATACGATTGCCCAACTACTTTCTTTCATAAAGAACCCGATTATAAGAGAACGCGGAAATTATAGTGCGTTATTATAAAACGATGGAGGAGAGAAAATTAATACTAATACTGCAATAATCTCGTTACCGTTAACGATGAATAAGAACTCGAGTTATAATAAATTGTATAATTATTTATCGGTGTCAAGATGCAAATCATTGCTCATTGTAAAATTCCGAGCTATTACGATTTTATAATGTGTAACGCGTATAATACGTAAATCAGATACCAGGAAATGTTAAAAATATGCTTTTTGCACCATTTTCATGATTGAAGTAAGAAAAAAACTGCTAGAAGATTACAAACCTACAAAAAAAAAAAAAACTATAAATGCAACCGCGCAATTACCCTGACAGCAATCAACAGCTTCTTTGAAAGTCGTTATTATTTTGCTATTATCTGACACAATAGCCTTGTAGAAAATACGTAGTTAAGAAAATTATTCAGATATGTATCATCCGGCTTGACAAATAAATGTATTTACAATACAAAAAACAGCATTGCTATTCATGAAGAAGTATTTTTTTCAATTGTACTATGGTTAACAATCACGCGCGTTCAATTTTGATAGATTTAATTTGAGTAAAAAGTTGAATATAAAATAAGAATAAACTTTGAAACACAAACTGTAATAGGATATGCATATATGTATCTTATTTACAATGTTAATGGATCGAATTATGCAAAATTAAATGCGTTGCATGCATTTGTGATATAAAATGTATGTCATCGCGAGCTTGAGTAAAACATACAAAGCGGAAACTCTTATTTAACGCTTGTATATTAACTCAGAGCGTTGAAATTTTTTGTATGCTGGCGAAAGTCATATATTTAATCTCGTAGATGATAATAAATATTCAAAAGTTTCAGAAGTTGATATCATAATTGGAGAATGTTAATGCGGCAGGAGAGATCGAATCATTATCTCGATACTAGTTAATAAATTATTAGCAAGACATTTCTGTAACTATGTATCTTCTAGAAATTGCATGTAATATTGATTAGTTGATATTTTGCAAGAAAAATGCATACAAATTTATATATTTATCTTTGACCAAAAAAATATAAGTTACATTTGACTGATATAAGATATATTTGTATACATGAACATAAGATACATTTGATCTATAATTTGGAATATTGCATTCACCAAAATAATATCACTTTTAATTCTTGGGAAAAGGGAGAGAATTTCATATTATATTATAAAGATTTTAATTATTGTTGTTTAAATAATATATTGTTTAAGAGTATTAAAAAATTGGCAGAAAAAATTCTATATAAATCGATAATATATGTTTGTGCTATACGATATTAAAAATACATCTCTCATTAAAAATAAACCACTCGTAATATCCATAACTAATCTTTAGGAGCACGAACATTTAATTACATCTATACTGCTTTTAACATACTCATTTAGATTTCTCTGAAAAAACGAGCTAGTATTTAGTTCGTTTATTTTTCTATAAATAATACAAATACTATTAAATGCTTTCTAAACAATTTACATATCTTTTCCAATATTACATATAATTTAATATACAGATATTCAAGAAACAAAATCTCTTCTCAAGATTATTTAAAATTTTTTTGTCTGATCTTGAAAATAGTTAATTTTTTTTTTTTTTGTAAAATAGATAATATACGATACCATTATGTTGTAAAATTGGAACATTTTACTTTTACTAGCTGGCGACGAGCAAGACGAGCTATAATTTACAAATATTTTACGATACATGATGTTTTATTATACTTGTACACTGATACCGCGAGGTCGCTGGTAAAAATGTATTATGTGTAAACGATGTTCTTACTCACAAATGGGCGCGAATCGATATCCGGTGAATCCGGACGTGCCTTACACACGCGTTGAAATCTCCCTTCGAACGAATGTGCCGCGAACGCGGCGGCACTCCACTTCGCGCACTTCGTCCTCTTGACTTGCTCGCTCTCTCGGGAATTTATTGCCCGGTCCCGCAAGAGCTCGAACGAATCCAACCGGGATTTCCGCCTAATCGTCAGGCTGCACCTTTCTCCGAGTCGAGCGCGCGTTGTAAACCGCGACGAAACTGGAGCACTTCCTGCGCCGCACTGCGTTCCCGTTAAACGCTCGTCACGGAAAACCGATTTTCGTGATCGCGCGTACCGGGGACCGATCTCCTCGAAGTCACGCGAATCGCCGCGTTCTGGCCTCTTCCTCGGCCGCTGTCTCCGATCGCGAAGCGGACGCGCATGCGACAGTCGCTTCGCTCTGACTAATCGTTTGTTGCACACGCCGATTTTATTACCGTTACTGAAGCCGCACTTATCGCACGTATGGAGAAACACATATCGTCCGCGGCACGAGCATCTTCCAGCAGCCGAGATACCAACCGGTCCTTGAACACTCACGTAAATAGCGATAGCGCTAATGACAACAACGCGCTGATTCAAAAGAATCTCGATCCGATCGATATATAGTGCGCGATATTTTGCGATACCGAGGACAATTGTTCAATGTAGAGGACTATCACATCGTACTATACACGCGACTCGTTCTCCTTGCGGCACTCCGAGCGTCCGAATCTCACGATCCTGTTGACCGCAACTGTCCGGTACCGCTGCAGATACTGTAGAGAACTTTCCCTCTCTGCGCGCATACGAAGGGATATCGCGCGGCATTCTGGCCGCGAGAAGGAAAAATGCCGCGAAAAAGGGGAGAAAAGGAAGGAACAGACTAGGGATAAACGACCGCCGAGCCGAAGGTGGGAGCGACGAATCGACGCCGCACCTGGCGAATGTACCTGGCCGTTCCTCTCGCGGGAATAGAGGAGATGCAGTGAATGTCGATATCCGGTGATGAATCTAGAAAGGAGGACTGATCGAGGAGGGGACACGCGCGATTTTTTGTTATCGAGAATAAAATTTATACGTTACACATAAGACAAATCCATTAATATTTTATTAAGTTAATTTATCGTTTAAATTCCTAATGTCCACAAATTTTTTTTGTGTCTCAAATATCTCTGATCAATATTACTCATACTCGTTTTTCCTTTTTTGCAAATACTTTTTCTAGAAAAGTTCTCCATGATTTTTCGTGTAACTGTGATACTTTAGGCGAGAGACGAGATACTTTAGACAACGAGATGACAGATAGAATCGAGAGAGACATTTTTATTCCCATTATATCCTTAATTGCTTGAATAATATCGATATCGTATCAATTAGTTTTATATAAGCTGAAAATCGATTTCATAACCGCATTGCTACCATATATGCTAGAATAGGAGAAGTATCGACCACATATATGTACAACGATCATATTGCATATATACTGTATATATCAGTTTCTTAATTGCTCACGTGTGCAATTGTAATTCGCTTGTGCTACAACGTGCTTTCATACGTTACGAAGTAAGTTAAATACGCCGAATATATTTCGCAACTATGAGTTCGGCAGAAAATGACAATAATGTTCTTAGAACGTATTATACCGCAATATTGCAAATATAAAGAAATATTACTCATAACTTTAGACTAAATCAAAATCAAACTGTATAACGATCAAAACAAATCAATTATAATAGTGATCCGAGGATACAAAAACTTAATATAAACAACGTACTTCTTTGTTTTATAATATATTATAGGAAAAGAAAGGAATGTGACCTTATACATTTGATGTAAATTTCTCGCCTGCATAATTAGTCTTGACGCAATCAAGAGCATTACTTATGCAAAGGTGGGAGTAAATGCCTACAAAAAGAATGATCACCTAAATTTGGCGTAAATTATGACTTTTGTATATATAACGTGATTTATATTAAACAAGTCTTAAAAATAATTTATATATTTATACTTGTCTCATCGTTCGCTCGTTCGGATTGCACAATTTAAACGATATTTGAAAAAAGAAATAGTATAATGCGGAATCTCCTGGATTTTAATTAGGATGTAATGTACATATATGTTAATAAATGGCGACGTGTCACGGAAATAAACTTGAGAAATATGACTAATATTTGTTTTGACATTCCATTGCGATTTTATGGACACCGAAATCAGTTCCGCTCGAAGACGTGCTCGACAAAATAACGCTCATGAAAAGATCCACTATATGTTCTTTTCTTCTCTTTCGAGAAAAGAACGCATCTGCGTTCACCAGTCGGAATGTTGAGCACCTTTTTTATGCATTTATGCATCCGGCTCGGGATATAATCTCTTTATTTTTAAAACCACAGTTGCTACGAGTTCGTAGAATGACGTCATAATCGACATTGCTCTTACGCAGAAAAGTCGTATTATTATTCTTCTAAAACATTATATATATGTCGATGACGTTGACGTTGCAGAACATGATATAGTATAGCGATTTACATGGGTCATCAAAAAAAGTGAAAGCGCTTGCAATTTACAATTCACTGTAAGAATTGATATGTATCAAAAAGAAAACTCGTTTTGTTTTGTAATTTAATGCAAATTAATTAATTTTCTTACATATCTTTTGGTTCTTTTCAAGAAATTTTTTTCTCCGTTGATAACACATATATGTATTTAGCAATTTTAATCAAATCTTGGATGGTTACTGATTAATTCTTTAATATTGCGTTTGGATGATTATGTCGTATCTCAGATTCTTTTTTTTAATATTAATGCAATCTTAAAATAGACAGATGTACATGTTAAATTTCCATACGGTCTAACAATTACGCATCATACCGATTCTTCCATTAAATACGATAATCCGAAATAATTTCCAATTTCTCTCCATACAATAATTAACAATAATATTATACATACCTGAAAAGATACCACACTCCTTTCTTTTGCGTAGATCAACAAAAAATCAACTGATGCTCAATCGTTCGGTAAAGCGAGGATTGTCGTCGCGTACAGTATTTTGGTGGGGCATCTCGTATTTTGTTTACATTCGCAGTTTACCATATGTCAACATAACGCGTCGTGCCGGATTTGGTCCGCATTCCATTTTATTGCACCATGATAGAACTGACTTCCCTCGCTCTCGTTCATTATACATTAACATAAAAATATTAATGATAAAGAATTAATACTGTAACATGTGCGTATTATTGAAGCGCGCAGTATAATAGAACGCATAGCGGCACGACAAGTTTGTCTTGCCGATAGCATTATAACAATTACGAGATAGCAGCGAGTGCACGAATCTGTTAAACGAGCCGTAATGTAAATCGTACGTTGGACAAGCAATTTGATTCTTTTCGACAAGTTTTCTGAGAGACAACGATGTGGACTTTCACTTGCGTATACCGAAACCACGACGAATTCCCTGGATTCTGTGTTGCGTACACGTGCGTATTAAAGAGTAAGTGTGCGCTCGCATAATTGTTGTCGCGACCGATTGCAGCATCAGCAAATCCGAAGGATAAATAATTAGCTAACCGCGAATTCTCGACCTATTCTCATTCGATCACAAAATTACGAATAAAAAATGAACTTAGAACATTAAAATTTTCAAATGCTGATATTAAAAATACATAAAACTAACGCATGCGGTACAGAAACTGTGATAACATTTGAATGGAAATCAGAGTTTTTAATCAATTTTCTTGAAATTAAATTAGTTGTAAAATAATATTAAAGTTTGCCAAAACATATTTAGTAAAACATTGAATAGTTCAAAATTATTAACACTTGATACATTTAATTGGTAAGATATATAGAAAATTATGATACGATGCAGTGTTTATAAGCTTTTTCATATATATGTTTCTTATTTATTTTATTGTATTTAATTAATATTCATTAAGTAACGAAATGAATTAAAATGTATGAATCTTTAGTTATAAAAAGAAATATTTTCGTTGAGAAAAAGCAATTCATTTTCATTGAATGCGTCTCGTGTCAATAACACAGAATTTTTTTCAATGTAAAGAAACTTTTTGTATACAATTATCAGATAATAGCACGTAATATCACATTAATTTTAGACAGAATAATATTTCGATGTAATATTATTTCATAATGTTTTTATTATGCGCACGTCTTGGAAATTGCATGTTACTGCAATGTGTCGTAATTGATCGATAATTTCGGAGCAATAATCAATCTCGTGACAATCAATTATTTTCATTATACACATTGCTGTATTATAACAAGTATAATCACACATAATTTACTGTCTTAAACATATTGTGCTCCAACGTATCGTCATATAAATAAATTAAAATCGATAATAATAACAAAAATTATATATTTTGCAATATTTGAATGAAACCTTTTCATATTAATTCCGCGTCACAATTGTTAAACTTCTAAATGATTTATACACTTTTTGCAATGTTTTAATCATGTAAAGATATATGCACAATGTAGAAAATCACACACGTAGGTATTAATGTGATTTAAACCCTCTTAATATACTCTACCTAAAAAAAAAAGAAAAAAAAAAGGAGGACTTTTTATACCCTAAACATTGGGCTATTTTCCAATCACTGAAACTCGGCGAAAATTCATCGTAGACAAAAAATTTCAAAAAGCATTTTGAAGTTTGAGATTTCAACTTTAACACCCTATCGGCGGTTTTAAAAAATTTTTTTTATCTTCCTTGTTCTGTGCTTTAAAAAAGAACACATTGTTTTGTTCCTCAAAATTATTAATGTATTTTTGACACTCTGCAGCTCGATAAAAAAATTTCTCTTGTAAAATTTAACTTAAGTTCCATAAACTACAACATTTTGCCTACAAAATGCTTTTTTAAAAATTTTCCTACGATTTTTTTCTTTTACCGTGTTACACGATTTTGAAACTAAACCTATATTTTTAGAACTAATGTTGATACTCGTCGAAAAATCATCGTAGACAAGAAATTGAGAAAGCATTTTGAAGTTTAAAGTTTCAATTGTAACATGATATCGATAATTTAAAAAAATTTTTTTTTCTCGTTTCTAGAAAATATGGGTTTAGATTTGAAATCGTGTAACACAATTAAAAAAAAAAGCATTTTGTAGGCAAAACGTTGTAGTTTATGGAATTTAAGTTGAATTTCTCGAGAGAAATTTTTTTATCGAGCTGCAGAGTGTCAAAAATTAATTAAATAATTTTAAGGAACAAAACAATGTGTTCTTTTTTAAAGCACAGAACAAGGAAGATAGAACAATTTTTTTTAAACCACCGATAGGGCGTTAAAGTTAAAACCTCAAATTTCAAAATGCTTTTTTAATTTTTTGTTTACGATGATTTTTCGTCGACTTTCAGCGGTTCGAAAATAGCCCAATTTTTAGGATATGAAAAGTGTCCCCTATTTTTTTTTTTTTTTTGGAGTAGTGTATATCGAGCGTCGAGAGTGTAAACGACATATTAATAACAATTATATATTAATAAGTTATATTTTCGGTGAGTTACTTGTATATTTTATGACATTCTTGAATATATTTTTGTTTTCGTGTCCACGTCATACTTAAGCGTATTTTCTCGATTTTTTAATCCCGTAAAATATCGATCGTGCACTAAAGATTAAAGCGAAGCGCGTTACGCGCTCGGGTTAATCTCATCTATATTAAGTATTAAGTAACAAAAATATCCGATAGATATAAATCATCTGATACTCAATCGTTCGGCCGACGTTGTCGCGTAAATATTTTGATGGGGGATCCCCACCATTGTTTATATTATATACTCGCAGCTTACCGTATGCCAATATAACGTGTCGTGCCGGATTTAGTCCGGTTTGGTAATGGAACGCGTAATGACACGACATGTTTGCCTTGCTGATAGCATTATAATAATCACGAGATACCAGCAAACGTGAGTTTGTCGAACGAGCCGTAACATAAATCGTGTATTGGATAAGCAATTTGATTCTTTTCGACAAATTTGTTGAGAGATAACGATGTGAACTGTGTGATGGAACTTAATTAAATATCGGTAATGTAATCGACATTT